CAAAGGACAACTTTTGGTTCCTTTTCACTCTGGACAGAGCCTTTTGGGAAACAAAGAAGCGAGGGAGGGTGTTGGGCAACATCTTTTCTCATCTCCGCCCTCACACCCAGCCACTTAGAAGCATCTTACAGATCTTGGAAAAACATCAGCGTTACACTGGGGATGCCACGCCTGGGATTCCAAAATCCGTGGAGGCCCTCTGGGCCCGCAGGCTGCAAGCCAGTTTGAGACCCCATTAATCAGGTCTCCAGCCTCTGCGCTGACAGCTACAATCACAGATGACTTCCCTGCACCTCACACCAGCCTTGGTGGCTGCACCTCTCTGGGCTGCTTCCCGCTCTCCCAGCTTCGGGGTCCCCTCCTGGGCCCTGGGGCTCACACACTGTGCCTTCTGTCTGGGCAGGAAGGTGTGTGGGATCTGTTTCCTCCCTTGCAGGCGTTTTCAAAAATGTCTCAATGGGGACTAATGAACCCAAAGGAACTATGGAAGTAAAATTTCAGGCACTGCGTCCTCCTATATGGGGAAATTGTTGGGGAGCCAGAAGATGCATTTTGAGCAGCAGCCCTCAGCCAGCAACCTACTGAGGTCGCCCCCCTCTTTTGCCTAATTGTAAGACTGTTCCTGACTTACCCATCTTGGTAACTATCTTCTAAGAGCTCATGATCAGGAGTCAGAAAGTCATTTAGCAATTATGTGTTAAGCAGCCAATTAATCAAGGTCGATTAATAAATAAAGTGGATGTAATAGCCCTAAACGTTTATGCCCCTAAGAACAATACTTCCAAATTACATGAAGCAAAAACTAATAGAACTGTTAGTTCTGTTAGAGAAGGCAATATGAGAGAATAGACAAATCCGCAACTATTGACAAAGATTTCAAAACGCCTCTTCCAAAAATGGATAAAAATCATGCACAGAAACTCACTAAGGACACAGAAGAGTTGAGCAACACTGACAAGCAACTAGACCTAGTTGCCTTTATAGAACACTCCACCCAACAACAGTAGAACACACACGCTTCCTAAGTCATATAGAACATTTACCAAGATAGACCATATCCTGGGCCATAAAACAAGTCTGAATAAATTCAAAAGGATTCAAGTCATACAAAAGATGTGCTCTGGCCACAATGGATGTCAATTAGAAATCAACAACAGAAAGATATCTGGAAAATCCCCAAATATTGGGAACTAAATAATACACTTCTAAATAAGCCATGAATCAAAGAAGAAATCAAAAGGGAAATTAGAAAGCATTTTGAAATAAATGAAAATTAAAACACAACATAGCAAAATTTGTGGCATGCTGCTAAAGCCGAACGTAGGGAGGAATTTATAGCACTAGACAGCAGTGTCATAAAAGAAGAAAGGTCTCAAATCAATGACCTCATTTTCCATCTTAAGAAACTAGAGAAAGAAGAGCAAATTAAGCCCAATCTAAGCAGAATAAAGGAACTAATAAAGATCAAAGCAGAAATCAAGGAAATAGAAAGCAGAAGCATCATAATAAAAATTAAAGAAACCAAAAATTGGTTTTTGAGAAAATCAGTAAAATTGATAAACCTCTAGCCATACTGATCAAGGTGGAAAAAAGGAGATAGAGAAAGAGAATTCCTGTTAATTTTAAATTCATTTACCATTGCCTGGCCTCCAGCTCTCGTCCGTACTCAAACCACTCATCAGTCTTTTTTTTTGCCATTTTAGTTGACCTCTGTGGTCCTAATAATCTTTGTGATAGATACAGTATTGTTATTGCTCTCATTATTCAGCTGAGAGTGCTGAGGCCCAAGTTGACCAGAGCCACCTTTTCTGTCCCCTTCTTAGCTTGAAAGCTTGCAGTGAGGATTCAGTGAAATAAAGTAATAACCTGTAAAATTTTAGCTCAGCTTCTGTCTTTACTAATGTCTCTAAGATACACCAAGTTAACATCATCTAATCATGAGCCCCCCTTACCTAGTGAATGCCTCTTCCAACCAGCTCGCCATCCTCAGGCCGCAGCCGCCAGAAAATTCTGGAATCACTGCTGCCCCTGCCCCTGTCCCTGTTGCTGGCTGTTCTGGGTTTGCAGTACAGCATCTGTGTGGGAGTAAGTGCCATGCATAACCACTCCTCTTCAGGACCCCTCAAATCCTGGGTCACCTTCAGCAAACCGGCAGCTCAGATGCTGCCGCAGTACAGATTCCGCTGCTGTCACCTGAGAACACGACTTCCAGATCTTGATTTTATAAACTCTAGAAGGCTTTCAGATAGGGAAAACAGTAGGGTAGGCTTAGTTAAAATCCCAACTTAATGATTAGCCCTGTCTAAAAGATGGGGAAGTTAGCCCAAACCAGGTGACTTACTGTGAATTTAGTCTTTTTTCAAACTGTACTTTTTAATCAGGTTAAAAATGTTGGTGGGGAAAGGTGGGGGTGAAGTCCATAATTTTTTAAAATTGTGCTCCAATATACATAACATTAAATTTACCATTTTAACTCTTTGTAAGTGTGCAATTCAGTAGCTTTGAGACATTCACATTGTTGTGCAACTGTCAATATCCATTTCTAGAACTTTCCATTGTCCCAAACTGAAACTCTGTACCCATTAAACAATAACTCCCCATTCCTTCCTTCCCCCAGCCCCTGGTACTCACTCTTACACTTTCTTTGTCTATGAATTTGACTATTCTAGGAACCTCATATAAGTGGTCACACACTTCCAAGGGCTATCCAAGCAACTTGGCCAGGGCCTGAACACGATCTGTAGCTAGTGGAGGTACAGTTGCTCTCCTGTCCCCAGACTGTCGCTGCCTCTGATGGTTGTGAAGACAGTGTCTGTTCGCTACAGTTTTCCTCCCCCTGCTTGAAGGGCTCCAGGGGAATCCCACAGGACCTGGGACTTCTGGCCCACAGCATGGGCAGCAGTGCTGACCTTCTCCAAGGGAGGCTGGCTGCACCTTAGCAGAGTCCACGATGATGGTGTGTCCCCATCCCTGGTGACAAGGCAGATCCACCAAGCTGCAGCCTCTCCCTTCATCAGGACAATTGTGGAGAGGAAGAAAATGGTGACATTCTAGTTCAGAAGAGAAAACACACCAGGAAGATACTGGAGAATAAGTCCAAGGCAATACATGGACAAGTTCAAGTGTATACTGCTCCACACGCAGCCCCTTCTCTGCAATTCTGATACCCAAAGATCTCTAGATATGAGAAGCATTTAACTTATTTGTTGGCAAAAAGTGACCTGAGCTGATGTGAGGTGATGTGTGACATCTGTATTTATTCCACCTAAAGTGCGTCTTCTCATTTTCTGGGTGAAGCGTTAACGTGACGGGTCACGGAGGGTGGCCTCAGACCCAGGCTCCACCGGCACTCGCTGGGTGGGCTGTGACGCGGCCGCAGTCCGTGTGCTTGAGCCCCTGGTCAGAGGTGTGACAGGCAGCGCAGGCAGGGCACAGGCAGGCCTGGATCTCCTGCGCATCGGCCGTCAGGTGTCACGTCCAGTGCCCTCCTCCGCGCACCAGCTCCACAAACGCCTCCGGGACCTCATGCGGGTGGCCGGCTCTTTGGCAAGAGGCTGCCGTGGCCTTCGGGGAGGCACAGCCTCAGAGGGGGGGTCGCGTCCTCCCAAGAGGTGGCAGTCCTGTGCCCCGGCGCCTGTGACCCGAATTGGAAATAGGGTCTTTACAGAGGTAATCCCGTTAAAGTGAGGTCAGGAGGGTGGGCCCCCGGCCAGTGCGACTGGCGTCCCTATGAAGGAAACTCGGCCGGAGGCGCGCGGAGGGAGGCCGGGGGAGACGCAGCGGGGCGGACACCGACGGGGACGAGGACGGAGCCGTCCGCAGCGTCAGAGCCAGCGCGGCCCTGCCCACCCCGTGACCCCGAACCTCTCCCCTGCGGAACTGCGGCCGG